CCCCCCCCCCCCCCCCCCCCCCCCCCCCCCCCCCAAACTGGTAGCGATTCAGATTTATTGCATGTTGTGGCGGCAGCGCACACCAACGCATGGAGCCCGCAGAGCTGCCCATGTGCGCCATGCGAGTCCTGCAGCGGGTGACTCAGTCGGATGCTGAGGGACTCCCGTTGTAACAGCTCAGCTGTTAAAAGCAGAGGCTGCTCATTCACACACACATTGCCCTCCATCTTCAGGGCAATCCTCATTATAGCCGTTCCTGCTGTAGTTTTATATGACAGGCTTATTGCAAACACTGCATTCGTGCCAGATTGGAAAACCGGCTTTTATAACCATTTTATAGGAAACTTTATTGCAGCCAACCTGTATATATAAACTAGGAGACTTTGAGAGGAATGGTTGGTGACTTATGCATTGAGCCACAGTGCCTGTAATTTGCTTTCATGGCTGCCTGGTCTTCCCCCAGGTATTTCAGTCACCTCACCACCCGTCTCTTGCATCCCATGAAGGAGAGGCTAGCTGTGGATGGTTGGGTTTCAGGTGGAGTTGCCTCAGATTGATGTGCTAACACTGGGGACTTGTCTCCAGTGTCTATTGACCTTCACTGTAACTGCAGGTTTGCTTGGATGTTATTTTCAGACTAGAAGGAATGTTTTGCTTTGTCCCGTTGTTAATATTAATCTGGAATCTGTGCCTTTAAATATCAGGTTCAGTAGTCTTACAAAATAAGTGAGTAGCGTTTTGGCTAGTACTTCGTTTTTCCGTTAGATTGGCTTTATCCCTTGTTATACTGATCCTCGTCATTTTTCGCTCGCTCGCTCGCTCTCAGCAGAAGACGTGATTAATATCCACTTTTGCCTGAATGAAGGCACAGCGGAGCAGGGCAGATATCTTCCCACCAATTTGCAGGTTCTGCTCTGCAGTTAACGAAGCTACTCCAAACAAAAGCAAACTGAACAGTTTGTTATAAAAACCAATTAAAGATCCTTATTATTGAAACGTCGCTGTCTGTTCTTTTTTTAAGAATTCCATGGGTAGGCTCTCTGACGAGATCGTACAGGATATTTCTACTGAAGTTTTTCTAGGTTTTTCAACAAAAGCCAGTGAAAAACACATGACTTATAATCTTATAACGGTTAGGTAATCTCTTTATTGCTGTATGTCTTTTTACATGGCCAGTGGTGGCTTAATGGTTAGGGATGCACACTTGTAATTGAAAGGTTGCTGGTTTGAATCCCTGACCAGCAAGGCGCCACTGAGGTACCCTGAGCAAGGTACCGCCCCCAAGCACTGCTCCCCGGGTGCTGAATTAGCTGCCCCCTGCTATGTCACGGAAGTCACATATGGGTTAAATGCAGAGGACACATCTCGTTATTGTGCACTGTGTGCTGTGGTGTGTCAACAATGACTGACACTGATCTCTAAATTCTACATTGTCAGGTTATGCATCCATCCAGTAGTTATTAACCTTTGTATATATAACCTAGCTTTCCCATGAATAGAGCCCTAACTGCTTGGCATGAAAACCCAATCAATGAAATAACTTAGACTGGGAATGAAACGGCATCTTTAGATGAAGAGAGAATCTGATGCAGAGTGTTGTGTTAGCTTGCCTGAAACCGCGTGTCGGTGACATGGTCATCACATGGGTAACCTGCTAGTAAGCTCCCTCGAAGCAAAGCATACAAATTAAATTTCCCGGACGTTTTGATCTGGATCCGTTTAGGGATAACAGGTTAAAGGCTGCAGTTAATAGTTTGGTGTTGATTTATAGCACTGTTAATGAATACATGGGTTGAATTTGCTTGAAGGCATGGAGGGAGGGGGGAGAGAGAGAGAGAGAGAGAGAGCGAAAACAAGGGAGGTATGAAGGCGGAATGTACAAGGATGAGTTGAACTGCGGCCAGAAATTCAGTGTTGCTGAAAAACAACCATGAAGAGAGTGGACCTTGAACCCAGACACACCCACATCCCAAGCCAATCACGGGGCGCTGACATGCTGCCTCCCTGCTGCTAGAGTGCTGCAGAAACACTGCAGAAATTCCACACTTTACATCCTTGAAAGGGAGAGACTTTTATTTTTAAAGGTACGTGAGGATTCCTTTTCCATGCATCCCATCATGTTCTCCTATGAGAGAGATGGGTCAGAGCACAGGGTCAGCCAGTTACCCAGCACCCCTGGAGTAGTTCTTGGGGTGAAAGGGCTTCCTTCAGGGCCCAACAACAACATGACTTCTCTGCCAACCGTGGGATTTCAGTCTGCGGGTGCTGGTTTCTAACCCACAGAGCCACACATGAAGGTTAATGATTCACCCTGCTGACTCGCAAATCCTGGCACGCGAATGCAGGTCAATAGCGAGATCTCCTCCCACGATGGGTTACTCAGGAATTAATGGCTGCTCTCGTGCCATTGGAGGGCTTCCTTTCCTTTGCAGAGAGTGAAGCTGTTGCTCCTTTAGGCTCTGCTGTGGTGCATGCAGATTGGGGGATTCACAGCTTCTCCACCGGAAACCTGGAGGGCTGCTCCTTAAGGCCTTTCCTGTCTTTGTTAGGCTTAAGTTTTACTTGCAGTTACCAAGTCAGTGTTGTGTTTTTTTGGGCAGGCACCACGAGACAACCCCGGGAGGGGGAGGTTCCTGGGGTGGACTACAACTTCATCAGCGTGGCGGACTTTCGCGTCCTGGAGGACAGCGGCCTTCTGCTGGAGAGTGGAACCTATGACGGTACGTGGAGTGGCCTGGAAGCTTCAGGGCCCTGTGTGAGCCTAAGCGATTGGCTCTGTAGCAGATTTTCACAACCATCGCGAAATTTGGGGAGAATTACCTTGTTACATGACAATGCGGTCACGTTTTATTCATGCATACATATCGTAAAAATATGCTTAAGTTATGTGCTCTGTGTAGAGATATGAGTCCTTTGACAAAATATACCTCTGGGCTGTCGCACATTTAAAGAAACTGGGAGCAGTGTTTTAAAAAAGTATCTCATGGGAGTTTAACTTGCATAAAAGTGTTCTGAGGGTAGAACAAAAATGATTGGTTATCCCTCTGAACCAATCAGATCTTGATCAGATGTCAGACCAACCAATCAGATGTCTTGGTCCCCTCTCCTCTAGTTGCTCGACCTGCCTCCTCTACAGTCTGATTGGATATCTCTCTCAACCATTCATTTTTTATTCTGCCCTTAGAACATTTTTGTGAGTAAAAATCCCATGAGCCATTTGCATATAAACAAGACACACCTTGAGTCAATACTGTTAAAATTAAATTAACCCTGTGACCTTTCTTGTGGAATTAGCGGCCTTGTGACGACATTGCCAGAGTCCTCGGTCTCATCTGTATCTGCATCTCGTATCCCAAGTGAATTATTCACTCTCAGCATCCATCTGCCTGCCACAAAGACATTTTACCTTTAGTTCGGGCCCCGAGTTAATTGCTGATGGAGGCACAATCACATCTACCATCTACGACCGGTTTTCCTGCCTTTGGCCTGCAGCCAACGGCATGCTGCGTTAAATAATGCATCAGCACACGCCCACGCCCACCCCCGCAACTACTCTTGCCATAGCACAGAGTGGCCTGATACGCTGTTGACCCATAAGTGTCCAACACACAGTTCACCTCTTAAAGTAGTGCCCTTCTGACCTCTCACATAGGAGTGGCGGTATCACTCTGTAATGATCTCTATCTCGACTTATCGGGTGACTCGGTGGTGGATTTTGGTCACTGGAACGGAGGCCAAATTCAATCTAGTTGAAAGCGATTTCACAGCTTCTGACTTTTATGGACTGACGTGTCACCATGACTAACGATCGGCGATTCCTGGACAAGTGGGAGGCAGGGGATCTATATTTATTTATTTATTTTTGGATGACGGGAGGAGTGATCGACTCGGCCAGTCGTGGCTGGACGGAACCGCTCTGAGACCCTGACAGCCTGCTAATGACCTTTTGGTGACTATTAGGGTTTTCCGGTCCAGATGTGTCTGTTCCAGAGTGGCAGGCAGGATGTGGGATTAGCATATGCAGTGAAAAGCTGCTCTACCAAAACAAGTGAGGTTCTAGTCAGGACCAGGAAGAAAAAATAGGATAGTCAAACTTCATTCCTCCCCATGGGGAAATATCTCCCATCGGCGGGGGGGGGGAACGAAGGACAGTATTTGTAGCAGGAACTGAGGGTGTTTAGTACATCCCACTGGAATTTAGTGATATAACAATATCACCGAAAGCATCTGGGTAAAAATCTCCTATCCAACAGCTCGCTGGAGGAAATGACTCGTTAGTGCAGTCGATTGCAGCAACTTGCCCCAGACTGGGACTGGGTCATGGTCCTTCGAGAGTCCTGGGCACATAAATTTCGGAGACCCCACTACTAGATGCATGAAGCGGGGGCACACTATAGACAGTAGGGGTGGGATGATAAGATGATGTTATCCGTTTTATCGGTACGATACTGATATGCTGATGGGTAGTACTGATATTTCCAGTGCTGTTTCACCTCTAGCACGAACTGCAGTCAGACACTGGATATCTCAAGCTGCTTTAACACTTTTATACATGTTGCTTTACTTGTAACGAAAATGACATGTACAGTGTGGTTTTATACAGATACAAATCTGCATAGTCGGACATGAATCTACTAATGTAGCAACTATGTCCCAAAACACATTTTCATTTCTTTATTATTTTCTTCGCACACAACTAACTGAAAGTGCCTGCATCTTTTCATTGTTCCTGATGGACAGCGATATGTCCTGGGTATGACGTTAATCTTCATCCAGCCTATAAGGAAGTCCTCTAACTTACAGGGAATCACTTGGGGGGTTATTGACAGGATTGTCACTCCAGCCACCGGAAAAAACCTCACACTGGTCCATTCGGACTAGTGTGGTGCTGAGGTGTCACCGTCCCATGGCTGCACTCAGGTTCTCACCCCTGAGGTGGATTGTCGTGTGGTGGGGGTGGCAACACACTGTAATCAATGCATGCCCCGTACTTCTCTCTCATGTTGTAACGTTAGCTAGCTAGCTATGATTATATTAGATTCAACTTTTTTGTCACTGCATGACGTTCTTGTACAATGAAATGCAGTTTGACATCTAATCCGAAAAGTGCAGAGTAGTGCAAGGTGCATTAAACATCATGTAAGTGAAGCACATAAAGTGCAGTATGGATGAAATAATTTAAAGAGAAATTGTAGGTTAGTAAATGGATGATGATGCTCCCTGTACTTTTGATGTCTTACTGCAAAAACATTAACGTTAGGTAGCTAGCTAGTTATTTAGCTACTTTGCACCTTGCTGAGAGCTGTGTTGAGCATCACTTCAACTTTTTTTCTGTTCTAGGTGAGAGGTGAAACACGGATAAGCCAAAATTCAGCAAAGCTGTGGTATAATACTGGTCTATGCTTCATGCGGTCGTCCTTGCTGGCCAGCAGTTAGTGGTAAACAGAATTTTTCAGCACATAAGATTTTCAAGCTGATTTACCATATTTACTTTATATGAATTATTAATAAACAGTGTTTTAGGCAGTTATTGTTGGCAGCTAACTGATTAGCTAAACTATCACCCATTTAGATTTTTACCTAGTATTGGTTGGTTATGGTTAATAATGTTATGTGCACTGATGTTGGCTAACCAGCAAGCTGTATGGTTATAGGTAATTTTGTGTGTGTGTGCGTGCGTGTGTGTGTGTATGTTTCAACTATCTACACATTTGTTTTACTTCCTTAAAACATGAGCTGCTAAATAATCTGATTTAAATATGTCACATCTACTCAGTATGATATACAGATATTTTCACATTAACAAAATATATTGTATTATTCTTTCATTGGTTTAAATGTAATTATTTTTCAGTCCGTCTGTGGGATGTGGCCTTTGGCCTCAGGGTGGGGGCATTGATCACATTTTTGAAAGCATGGAAAACTGGTGTCTTGCTGTAACAACATTGCAGAAGTATCTGCCATCAGGGGGAATGCAAAACAGAGTGGGTACTGACTGACTTTTCAATTGAATTAGCTGCCACCGTTACATTTTTACAGTATGAAAACCCAGCCCATAAAATCCTATATACAACCGAATTACTATTTAACATATAACACCACAACAGAAAAAATGAACAGCTGAAGAGTTGCAGTCACTTTAAAAGTATTTGGCCTGTGGGAAAAATGCCATGTGATTTGGAAATGTAACTGAGGAACAAAGGTTTCTGTGCGCATCACCTACATTGTGCTGTTTTATCCTACAATGACACAAATCGTTTGATGCAAGTCTGCCAAACACAAACATTAAATAATCAGCAGAAATGCAAGTCTGACATGGCGAGCGTGCTGGTGATAAGCCCTAATGTTAAAATCACCCCGTGATTTCTGACACTGCAGTTTTGCACTGTACTTGATTCCAATGGGCACCGTCAACTTGCGCTGTATATGCAGGCATCCCTGGTGGTCAGCTGTACTGTATATACTGAGGCCCCAGGGCCCCCTGGTTATCAACTCGCACTGCATATGCAGGGAGCCCTGGTGGTCAGCTGTACTGTATATACTGAGGCCCCAGGGCCCCCTGGTTATCAACTCGCACTGCATATGCAGGGAGCCCTGGTGGTCAGCTGTACTGTATATACTGAGGCCCCAGGGCCCTCTGGTTATCAACTCGCACTGCATATGCAGGGAGCCCTGGTGGTCAGCTGTACTGTATATACTGAGGCCCCAGGGCCCTCTGGTTATCAACTCGCACTGCATATGCAGG